ATAAGGTAAAGATGTACATGATAATTCCATTTTATTGAACTGATAATTAACACTCAATGACCCTGTGATGATTGCGTAATCGAAAATTATAAGTTGAACCTAATGATACGAATTAAAATTTACGGTTCTTTTGCAAAGGAAAACTAAACAACCACGAATTGCTTATTTATGCAATACTAAACGAAATATCAGTGACTCGAAAGCTCTTTTCGTTAAGGGTTTCTACGAACTGCTGGACTATTTGGAGGTGCGAAAAATAAGGAAACATAAATTTTTATATTAGAATGAAAACGTACACCAAAAAATCCTACACCAAAAAACTGAAGAAAACCTACACCAAAAGATCATTATGTCCAGTTTGGAAAGTTCGCTTCGGGAATTCATTTCCAGATATTTATTTGTGGTTGGAGCAGCACGGATGAAACCATTGGCAGACGAGGGAAGGGTAAGAAGTGGTTGTGTCTTGCGTGATATCTTTGGTAGCGACTTGTGCTTCAGGTTAGATTAACCAAGTTTTCAGACAATTGAACCAAAAGGGAAGAAGTTTGACGGAACAAGCAAGAATTTCGCTATTAGTTGGAAGTCTTGCATCGTAAGCTAAAAATTGTCTGTTAATGTCTGTTAACTAGTGTTTGCCGTCTGCTGTGAGTAAAACAATAATTGATATTGTTTGTCTTCTTGAGATGTTTGGAAATTAAATCAAAAATCGCACGCGGGTTATGTCGCAATTTGCGAAATGATATCTGTTATGAATAGAAATACGCACCGAAAATGCTGCACAACTTATGCATATTCTTGACGCTTACTGTCACTAACAGAATCTATGTAAGTAGATGTGGTGTGATTGGTTATGTTTCCACCTATTTTTTTTTTTTTTGTTTATTACTTATTCCGCTTACCAGTGGTTACCAAACCTTTTTTTTTTCAAATGAGAAAAAAAAAATTTATGTAGCGAACCTTTGTTAAATTTGGCCCCTTTCGCTCCCTTCGAAGGTCGAGTGCACACGTATCCCTGTACACGTGCACGTCTAGCTTCCAAACCGCCTTTAATGCTTCTTCCAACACCCAACTCGATGTCGACTTTAACACTTAATCTGGATCACAGCAAGGTTTGATATATTTTTCCTTTCGTGATGGTGTTGAGTGATTCCAAAAATCCAATATTTAGCTTTGGTGAGGAATAGAACTTCTATTTTTTGGTGGTACGCAGCGCTAAACCTTTTTTCCTTTTTCCTTCCCAAGCGGAAGGAAGGAGATTAACGGCGAAATATTTGACAGGTGATTCTAATTATTCAGACCCGATCTTCAAAAGTTACGTTAGGTATAAGAAACAAAAGTTTAGCAGAATCGTCGACGTCTACGGATGCTGCCAACCGTTCGGGATATCTGCTGCACTGTACAGTACACTCTACATTTGCTTTGTGTCATTGCCGGTCTTAATGGGAGGGAGTGCATGTTCGTATACCGAGACAGTGCTGCGGTACTTCATTTTCGGAAAACTTTTAGTAAAATTGATCACCTGCCGGGGTAGCCCCTGTTCCTATAATGTGTAAAACTGACTGCTAGCGTAGCAGTTGTTATTTTTGTTTTCTACATTCTCTTGTTTCTTCTCACCTCCCTTTCATGTGTTGGGGTGGTTCGTCAAGTAACTCTAACCGTCCTTATTTTTCTAACACTACAGATATCGTTTAAGAATGTGAATTAACTATATCGTATAGACGAGAACTAAATCAATTCTCAAGCGGACCGACAGACTCCTCCTACACTCTGCTCACTATTAATATTCCAAACGCTTTGGCCCCACGTTTGGTACCAATAAAAATTCTGTGTAGCATACCTTAAGGACTCGGGAACGTAAATTTTTCTAGTTCGCCGAAAAATTGGTGGATCGATAATGAAAATTGCTCTATAGAACTTTTAAAAATTTTTGTGTTCGTAAGCGTATGTGTATGTGTACTACCCCTCATCAGTCAGTATCCGAAAAAAAAAAAATTCCAAAGCTAATGAATGATAAATAATAAATAAATTTAACAAATTAATAAAATCGAGTAAAGAAAGAATTTTTTGTAGCAAATTCACCCAAGATATCTGCCGACGAATGCGCATTCGTGAATTAGTTATTCCTTTCGGGGCACCGGAAAGATAGCACAAAGCTGGGAAAGTCCAATAACTAGACAAAATTTTCTCCTTTTTTTCTTAAATTCATTTCCAATAAGAATGAATTGAGGCAGCAGCCTCCCTTTGGACAGAATTTTCTGATTGCATGAAATTAAATCCTTTCAAAAGAAAGAATCGCTCAAGTCCTTCTATCTTCACGATTCTATTCTCATCTTACCGATGGCACATAAAACTTGCCCTATGATAACTATGCTTAACTATATGTGGAATCGAAAGAAAGCAGCCCATCTTGTGCCTCATAGCTCCTTCATGTTTTACTTAGTAAGTTAATAATAATAAAAACTGAGAGCCATCTTCTTATGTTCTTCCCAAGCCTTATATATTATTTACCAAGCCTTATATTTATTTATTCCTTAAATTAATTTTTGCTATTGACAATGATATCGAAACCTTTTAAAGTAAGCCCGAAAGTCATAATCCAAGGGAAGAAGAAAGTATTTATAATATTTTATCTCGATGCGATTGAGGGTAGACTGCGGTAGATGGTCTTCAATTATTTTTCCAACTAAAGTGAATCGAGAATGATAGGAAAATACTTGAAAATATTTTTTTTTTAATTCCCGTCAGAGAAATGTGTGGTTGGTCGAGATGCTTAAATCAGTTTAGATAGATATTCAAACAAATAATGAACATTGCCTAATTCTAGGCGCTCAATCGCGTTTGGCAAACCTAATATATTCCTTTATAAAAATAGATACATGTAAGCGTTCGTTTGTACATTTTTTCTCCATAACCTGTTACTTATATTAATTATATATACATTAATTTAGTTGACATAAGATGACATACAATAATAAATAATAATGCTAGCGTTAAAATTGAATATCATTTTTTTTAAATTTTTTGTAAAATTTCTCACTCAAGTTTGCTTGAAGAAGTTTGGAAACGACACGGAAACAGGTAAATATGGAAACAGAAGAGCGCTCAAAACAGCCGTAAAATAAATTCAAGTACGTGTCGAAATTTCAAAAGAAACCAAAATAAAAAAGAAGTATTTGCGTGAAAGTGTATGGGTTCTCAGACATATAATGTGAGACTTGAAAAGGAAGAGCTTCTTTTCTTTCCATCGCTTTGCGGCTTAAAAGAAAAAAAAGTATTTTTTTAAACTTAAAATGCTTAACGTGTCATGTACGGAATTGTAAGTTAACAAGGACGTCGGATGTCTGAGAACATCCCGACATGGCTACAAGATGGATGTACTGAATTCTCTGCCTCTCTAAGAACATTAGTATTCGGCATAAAGTTAAAAGTAATAGGGATTTGGATGAATGGATGAAATACTTGATAGCTCACTAATGTGAGTGTGAAGTTAAATATATTTTATCCTCTGAAAGCCATTAAATTGCCAGGATTTTCTCTATATCCTCTCTATAGTGTAAAGAATTAAGTGGAGATTGTCATACAATATCTAAACCTATTCTGTTCGGCTTTTTCCAATTAATCAAATGGAATTTCTTACGTTTGAATTCGAGTCTTTCCAAGATGATGCAATTCAATGCTTTCAATGAAATGCAATGAAACATTTTCGTAAATGTGTCACTCATTTTTGGTCTTATTATCCTTTTCTTCAATTCATGAGCATACATTTTCCATTGACAAAATGGGTTCTTCAAAATATTTGTGCCAAGTTCTAACTTTTCCTGATTTCTTTTCCAATTTCCCTGTCATAAGCCGCGTTAAACCTTGTAAATTGCGAAGTATACCTTGTTCTCTTTCGTTCTCATTTTGTTTTACCTGAAACTTAATTCAAAACGAGTTAGAAAGAAAAAAATGTTCGCGATTTTCGACATCCCATAAATTACATGGATGAATTTTTCTGATGATTTTCTCTTATTTTTTTTTTTAAATTTTTCATTCTCACTCACAAATATGCATTGTAACTTTGCGTTATACATTTCATAACTCAGTAAGATTATGTCCATTGAATGCGTCCGTGACTTATGCGCAGAGTACAATTTTTTATATGTTTGTTTTTTGTTGTTAAATGAAAATTCAAAACGTTATGTTTTTCGCCTTAATTTTATTTTTTGCCTTTATTTTTTTTTTTTTCTGCTGTGTATTAATTTATACAATTCGACTTTGTTAAATAACAGGCCAAAGGGATTCGATTCTGTTAACTGCAAAGCCGTCGGTAAAACAAAGGAAAACTTCATTTTCATTTTCTTCATTTAATTTTGAACAAAACCCTTGCGCCAAATCAAGTCAATAAACAGAAAAATCCCTGACAGACAGGTTTAAATATGCTCAAAATAGGGATTGAAGTATAGTCAATGGAATGCCGACGGCAATTTTCATTTTGCAATGAATATGTTTAAAACAGATTTTTTCACTTATAAAGCTGCATTTAACAGATTTTTTCACTTATAAAGCTAAAGATTATTTTAGTAATAGTACGCAAGTAAATTTCGGATTAAGAGACAACGAATTTAGAATATTATTGATAATGTTTAAAAAAAATATTCATTAAAAACTTAATAGTGATCACGTAAGAATATATTGACGCTGTTGTTTGTTTGCGTGTAAATTAAGTAAGAAAAACGAAGTCAAAATAAATAGTGTGTGAACATTTCAAATAAGAATGTAATAAAAATATTGTAAAGTTAGCAAAAAACAAGAAATAAGAAGAAGAATTAAAGTGGTGGTGCACTTTGCTGGCAAATCTTTTCTTTCGTGCAAGGATAAAATCTTTGAAAGATACCATATCGCAATACAATGTGTGAGTAGGAAATTCGCAATATTGGCAACTCTAATGGCGGCGGCCAACAAATCTAGCAATGCGAATTTGTTTTTTTTTCGCATTTAACAAAACAGCTGAGCATTTTCTTATACGCTATATTTGGCAATAAATAAACCAATTGCCTTCTCATATATCTATGGGAGAATATCGAATAAAAAAATTACTAAAGAAATATAAAAAAGTGGTAGGATACATCTACGAAAAATAATTCTCCAGAATATGTCTAACAGTGTCTTGCCCAGGGAAGCAGTTCGTGTCAAAGTGAAGGCAAGCATGGCAGAGAGAAGTATTTAAAGTTCTTTTATTAAAATTTATATAATTTTTTCTTATAGAAATGTGAAATAAATACTCCACCAGAATGGCGGAAATTTAGCGTAGATCCACAAATCACCTCACTGGAGGTTTTATATTCATTGCTTGCTAAAGCATTTGATATAAAGTCTGATTTTTCCATTAAGTATAAAGCGTACGATCCAGCAGGTAATGAAATTTATCTGTCAGTGCTATCCGATTGGGATTTAGATGCGGCTTTCTTGCGTATACATAATATTTCCATTCAGACATCAACGGAGCCTTGCCTTACTTTGCAAATGGATATAAAGCCACATACGAGCGTGAAAGAATGCGATTCCAATTGTGCGACTACGCCTAACACTTTAGTCAATTCTGGGAATACCGCTGCAACAGCAATGGCGGGTAGTTCAGCTGCCAGGGATTTGATGTCGCCTCTGCAGCAATCTTTGGGTGCCTCCCAGAAATATATGCAACAAATGCAAAATAAATTGCCCGGTCTCATTATGAACCAAATGGGTAAAACATTTTCCATGGTACAAAAAGCTTTTAATTTGTCAGAGGAAACAATAGCTGCTATTCCGCCACGTCCGCCTTTGTGCGACGGCGAGTTTCGAATGTTTTTAGATGCTTTGGGTCAGATACAAAGAAGTGATGAGTTGCGTAAAGTGATATTCTTTGGCGGTATTGATCCCAGTCTCAGACGAGTGGTGTGGAAACACATTCTCAACGTATATCCAAGTGCAATGAATGGTCATCAACGTATGGATTACATGCGTCGCAAGTCTGAATATTACTATAAACTGCGAGACACTTGGAAAGCAGGTGTTAAAAACGGTGCGTCAAAAATATTATTTAATTCAATAAATATTTTATATAATTTCAATCTCTCTACTAGGTTGTATGGCTACTGGCGAATTAGCTTATGTAACTAGTATGGTCAAAAAGGATGTTTTAAGAACCGATCGTTTGCATCCGTTCTACGCCGGCAACGACGACAACCAGAACATTGCATCGCTTTTCAATATACTTACTACATATGCGCTTAATCATCCTTCAGTAAGCTATTGTCAGGGCATGTCTGATATCGCCTCACCTTTATTAGTCACCATGAATGATGAAGCACAAGCTTACATTTGCTTTTGCGCGATAATGAGTCGTGTGAAGGGTAATTTTATGTTGAATGGAATCGCAATGACGCAGAAATTTGCTCATCTAACTGAAGCATTGAGTTACTATGACGCAGAATTTTGGGAATACCTCAAATCGCAACAAGCTGATGATTTGCTCTTCTGTTATCGCTGGCTCCTATTGGAATTGAAGCGAGAATTTCCGTTTGAAGATGCTCTCCGAATGCTAGAAGTTCAGTGGAGCTCGCTAAAATATGATACATGCGCTTTAGACAAGGAATTGAAGTTATACGAGAAAGAATTCGTACCAACTTTGCATTCGCCATTGGTGTCTCCAGTCTCGTCAATGAGTCCATCGTATTTTCTAGCCAAACCGCGAGAAAATGCCTACACGAAAGTTTGTGATTTAAGACGTCAAAGTTCTTCCGTCTCTCTGAATGCATTAAATTCTTCAATGGGCAAACTGGAGACTACCAAACGACTGAATCACAGCCTGGATGACAATGCAACGCGATACACTCTTAGAAGGCAAAAGCGAGCTTCGACAAAGTCTCATCAATCTTTAGATGAGTCGAAAATTATGCAACTTATGCAAGGAGCGGATGATAAGGCGACACAATCACATGAAAGTCGATTATTTGCAGAGGCTACTGTACTTGATAGCAACAGCGATGATGACAATGTGTTTATTGAAGAAAGTGGTTTTAAATTTCATGATACAAATCCTTTTAAAGATGCTCTTAACTGTTCAAGTTCTGCGGGTAAAGAGAATGAAAACAATGTGAATATGAAAAACTTCTTAAGCGGCTCATCGTCGCCCACTGTAAGTGAAAACTCTATTAGCGAACATTCCGAAGTGTCCTGTGGCATTACGAATGGTGCAGCGTCACAACAAATACCTAAGGGTATCGCCAAACTGCAAAACAAAAACATTCTTTCAAATTATAATGCGGTCAGTAATATAATTGCCAAGCAGTTGGTCCATGCCAGTATGGTCAGTGAAAACGTTCGACGAGTCGGTAGCTCAGGCGGAAGTCATTTCAAAGATTTGAAGGAGAAAATTGCAGCTACCAGCAGAAGAGGACTTACACTGGACGATGGCTGTAATAGTTTTATAAATGAAAAAGCTCAACAAAAATTAGTGAAAAACTTCAATGAGTTTCTAAGTTTTACTACAATCAACAAGAGCCGAGTAGCCAATAAAGAAACCATAGCGCCTTCAAACTCAACAATTCCCTATGACGTTAAGGAGACAGCATTTGTCGGAGATCAAATAACGCAACAATCTTTCATAATACATCCACTAGTGCAATTAAGCAAAGAAGATTTCGCTTCTTCATTAGATGATTCCGACTCTTTATCTTTGCCGGACACCACAAATAATACGTGTAGCTGTTCAACAGCAGCCACTGCTATACAGCAAAAAAATAATTTAAGCAGCAATAGTTTACATTTGGAAATCAATTCACTTTCCTCTTTAGGGCATACGCCCGATCGCTCACCGGTCTCACTGCGAAAACCACGCATGGAGGCTGCAAAATGTAACAACAAAGGTGACGCGATACAACCAGATCCAAATGAATCGAATGCGATCACGCCAGACGATAGTCAAGATTTGGATTATTACCCAATGACGACAGCCATCACTCAAGAGTTAGACCTGGAAGCAAAAAATTTAGATCGTCACGTATTTGGCGACTTGTCAGTCAACGATAAAAACGTCAAATCTTGTGGTGAAATAGAATATGAGAAATTAGGCAAGGATTCGCTTGATATAGATGACGATTTTAAAGCAAACGACGTAAACGCCTTCCAATGTAAAAATGTTGAAAAAAAGCGAAGAACTAATGAGCAAGTTAACGGTAACGTACATATTAATGAGCAACAAAATCCGCATGCGAAGGTTTTCGCATCAAATCCATTCTTTGACGAAGATATATTTACCGAAGGTAGCAATGCTTTGGTAGCTGAAAATAATAGCTACAATAACCAACATTTGCCCGAAGTGTTACTGCCCATATCAACTGACGCGAACGAGCTTGTTGTTACGACCACTGTTGAATTGGCTACCACGGCGGCTGAAGAAGAAATAACTTTTCCAAAACCATCGCATAATAGTAACGCTTTAGATCCTATTGTTGTTAAGCTACCAGCCCCTAGCGACTTTGGTGGTGGTAATCCATTCCTAATATTTTTGTGTTTGACGTTGCTTCTGCAACATCGCAATACGATTATGAAAAATAATATGGATTATAATGAAATAGCTATGCATTTTGATAAAATGGTGAGAAAGCATGACGTTACTCGGGTCCTCAATCAGGCACGACGCATGTATATTGAATACTTAAAAACGCAAGCATCTTTCAAGCAGCAGCAAAACGCCGCTGCCTCAAATCCAACAACCAGTGATGTTAATAAGAATGCTACCGCCAAACGGTCACAAAGTCACGAGGAATCCAATATTTATTCCTCGAATGTATTTACAAAATCATAAAACGTCCTTAGAGCAGCTCATACATACATCACGGGTTTTAACACATCATACATACAATAAAACCATCTGACAAACTTATCGGTAACATTTATTTATTTAAAATGTCCCGCACTTACGACTGCTAGCTCTTATTCTTATTTATTTATATATATATTTTTTTTTTAACTATTTTAGTTTGGTATGTTATGTTTATATATAAGGTTACTTAAGATTTTTCACATATGTCGCATTTTCCGTTTATTGTAGTAAATATTTTAAACGTATGTGTAAAATGCATTCCTTCACTGTATTCGCCTTACATTCACACATTTACATTTACTCTATCAATGTAGTCTTAAATAAAAAGATCAAAGTCAAGTCACCTAAAAATCAATTTTCTCTGCAATTTTTGACAAAGGATTAAACGGAAGCGAAGCTTTAGGGCATAGTATGTTTCTCGAGCGAGGAATTGAGAATAAAACGAGCAATTTCCTACGTAGGTAATTTTACTTGTCAGGGTGTATGAGGGCTACTTTCAACCCTCTTCATCAGTTAGCTGCAAAGTGAAGGGTGAGTAAAGTGCAGTGCATGTAACATATTCCATATAGTACGTGTTTCCAGAAGTGATCTACCTGTCATCTACCTACGCTTGCAAGAATTTGCGAAGTACAGAAGCGAAGTGGTAAGTGTTTGCACGTTCCATAGACCGTTTGCCAAACTTCGTTGCGCAAATTTCAATCGTAAAAGAGATCGTTGATGACATTTTACGGGGTAATCTACATGTAAGGATTTGAACTTAAACCATTTGCGGTACAGGAGTAAATTAAGTTTTCGGTTGTATAGCCATCCGGACTTGAAGATATACCTATCTTCTGTTATATCGAAAGTGATTCTGAGTCGATCTAAGTTCATCTGTCCATCTTTCCGTCTGGTTTTATTTTGTCCAAGTCGGTGCTTTTGAGATATTTTAATGAAATAAAATGGAGATGTTAATTACGAACTCGGCCACAGAATTATAAAATGTGGGTGAAAAGAAATGATATGTTTTCTCGGCTTAGAACTGCTGACCAATGGTGTAAATTAAATCATAGTTTATACTACAGGCACCCTACAGTTATTCATATAAGGGCTTTTCAAAATAACACGTGATATGGCAAGTGCTTGAAACAGTGGTTCGATTCTAATAGCTTTCAATAAAGTTCGTCTGTGCGTGAAAACACTTCTGTTTACCGAATTTAGTCCAAATATCTTCACAATTGCCATCCGTAGGTTGAACACAAAGCAACAAAGCGGACCGACGGACGGACAAGCGTAGGTCGGTAAATTAAAAGATTGGTTTATTTCAAGTACTTCTGTGTGTCGAACACATCCGCGCAAGTTTAATATATCCCAAGTGATATAGGGATAAGGATAAGAATTAAAAACAACCTCATTGAGAATCTTCTATATTATCCATTGCTAAACAATTGCTGTGAAATGTAAAGTGCAAAGTGTACCGCACATCGTATTGATCAAAACTAACGATCTATGCAGTGGTTATGTAAAGTGAAGTTGCCATCACTGAAACTTAATTTAAGGGGCCAGATATCAC